ACACACACACACAATAGCTCATACACCAGTTCCAGGGACTCTAAAGCCCTCTTCTGGCCTCAGTGGGTACCAGGCATACACATGTTGCCCGTACACACATGTAGGCAGAACACTCATACATATAAAAAAAAACAGATCTAAATTTTTAAAAATGGGCTCAACTGACAAACTTTCTTATGCATTTATAAAAATCTTAAATTTCACTTATTTAGTCTCTCTCTCTCTTTCTGTATGTGTGTGTGTGTGTGCGCACGTGCGTGCACTTACACCATGGCATGAATATGGAGATTAGAGGCCAACTTTCAAGAGTGCCCTGGGATTAAAGGCTAAATTAATTTTTAACGTGTCTCTGAGACTTCTTTCCACGGACCCTCATGAACCCAACACCCAAGTTTCGACAAACCCTGAACAATAGTCAGAAAGTGCTAGGGGACTGGTGAGATGTCTTGGCGGGTACAAGTGCTTGCCACCACAGAGAAACCCTGGGGGGGGGGGATGCTTGCCACACAGCCTGATGACATACATACACCTACATGCACAAATCTTAAAGAAGAAAAGTTAACCACACAAACTAAGTCGGGACAGGGGCTGGGAATATGGCTCAGTCACTAAGTATCATTGGGTAAGTATGAGGACCTGAGTTCCAATTCCCATTATCCACATAAAAGCTGGATGCAACAGCCGGGCGTTGGTGGCTCACGCCTTTAATCCCAGCACTTGGGAGGCAGAGGCAGGCGGATCTCTGTTAGTTCGAGACCAGCCTGGACTACCAATCGAGCCTCCAAAGCCACAGAGAAACCCTGTCTCGAAAAATCAAAAAAAAAAAAAAAAAAAAAGCTGGATGCAGGGTGCATGTGTGTAACCTCAACATTGGAGGAGGAGACAAGCAACCTCTCTTGGGTTGCCTGACAGTGTAGTGGTATCCGTTTGTTCCAGGTTTAGTGAAGATCTTGTTTAAGACATGAGCTGGGTGGCGGTGGCCTTTGATCCCAGCACTAGGGAGGCAGAGGCAGGCAGATCTCTGTGAGTTCAAGGCCAGACTGCTCTACAGGACAGTCAGGGCTGGTATACAGAGAAGCCCTGTCTTGAAAAACCAGGGGTGTATGAGGCCAGCAAGATGGCTCAGCTAGTAAATACACTTGCTGCCTGTCCTGATGATAACCTAAGTTTGATCCCGGGAACCCACATGGTAGATAGAGGGACTGTTCCTTCCATGTTGTCCTCTTATCTCCATTCACGAACAACCACACATGCACCAGGCTTTTCTTTTGGGTTACCAACCAGCACCCAAATCAAGACTTGCTGGGACCCCTATATGGAAATCCATTCCATCCCGCCACGAGTTCAGAGAGCTCAACTCACTCCTATTGTCTCTAAGACATTACCTTAATGGCTACAGGATGCCCTGGCCTCAGTGGTGAATGGCTCCTGTCTAAATAACAACAGAGTTGGGCCCAGGCTGGTTTACTCTCACCCTGAAGGCTAGGTGATATGTGCAGCTGTGAAGTGCCTGAAGGCTAAGCAGTACGTGCAGCGTGCAGCGGAGTGTCTCTAGGATTAGGGGAAGTAATTGCTATCTGCCCTTTATACATGATAACACAAGTATTCTGCCATTGTCTCCACCTTTGGTTGATTACTTAAGATGGTGTATGATTAAACCTAGACGCATTCAGTATGGACTGAAATTGCCCTCCTGACAGCTATTTATGTTTCTGACTCTTAACTCTTTGAGCTAGCCTTTCCCTCATCCACACTCCCCCAATAAGGAATGGCCCCGGGGCTGATGGGCTGGTCCTGACTGCAGCCCCACAAACTCCAGTCTGCAACAGACATAGAGACTGCCTATTAGTTATGAGTGCTCTGCTTAGCATAGGCTCGTTCCTGGCTAGCTCTTTTAACTTAAATTAGCCCATTTCTCTTTGTCTACCTTCTGCCTTGGGGCTTTTACTTTTCTTCCTTCTGCATCTCTCACTTTCACTGCTTTTGGAGGCTGCCTGGCTTCTTGCCCCGGTGTCACTTTCTTCTTGTTTTCTCTTCTTTTCTTTCCTAGACAGTCTCTCTACCTGCCAGCCCCGCCTATCCTTCTCCTGCCTATCCATTGGCTGTTCAGCTTTTTATTAGACCAATCAGGTGCCTTAGGCAGACAAGGTGAAACAAATGCAACACAATCTTTACATAATCAGACATACACCCATACATTGTTAAACAAATGCAGCACAAATGAAATACACCTTTACACAGTCAAAGTAATATCCTGCAGCATAAGTAAATTTAATACATCTCTGTCCTGTTAAATTACATTTTACAACATACACAGATGCATGCACATAATTTGGAGTGGTTGTCAAACCACTTCAATCAGAGGCTTGGGGAGGGGCTGAAGAGGTCCACATGGTTTGATGTCCTCAGCAGGGTAGATCTTTGAGGCCTCCTCATTGTTAAAACCTGTCACTTTTTGCAGGGGTGGTAGGTGCTGGTGAGCACTGAGCCCAGGGCCCAGGCAAGTGCTCTGTCATCGAGCTACACACCCTCTCTCCCTGATTTCCCTTTCTTTCTTCCCCTCCCCCCTCTTTCTTTCCTAGCCCCCTCTTCAGGGTCTAGTGTAACTGACCATGAAGGCCTTAATGGATCCTCTTGACACCACTTAAGGCCTTTGCCACTATGTCTAGCTCCACTCAACTTTTTAAAAAAATTACACAGTATAATGGGACATCCCTTTAATCTCAGTACCCAGGAGGCTGAGGCAGGTGGATCTCTGTGAGTACAAGTCCACTCCAGCTTACATAGCAAGTTCCAGGCCTACATAGTGAGACCCAGAGCTATATAGTGAGACCCTGTTTGGGGAAGAAAAAAAGTAGTTATCATTATTGCTAATCTACTGTGCTAGAGAACACCAGAACTTATTTCTTGTGTGTCTATGTGTTCATGTGTGGTGAGCATACACGTGTGCACATGCCTGTGGAGGCTGGAGGTGGACATTGTGCTATCTTTCTTCAGTCACTTTCCAACTCTTTTTTCGAGACAGGGTTTCTCTGTGGCTTTGGAGGCTGTCCTGGAACTTGCTCTGTAGACCAGGCTGGCTTCAAACTTACGGAGATAGTTCTGCCTACCTCTGCCTCCCGAGTGCTGGGATTAAAGGCGTGTACCACCCATGCCTGGCTACTCTGCAACTATTTATTTTAGTTTTACACAAATTTATTGTGTGTAGATTTAAGCATATAAAACAATAAACTTATTTATCTTTCCATAAACACCAGCACTCCATCTCTTAAAAAACTGTTACATACAGGAGTAGTGGAACACTCCTTTAATTCCAGAAACAGAAGCAGAGAGGCAAGCAGATCTCTGAGTTCAAATACAGTCTGATCTACATAGTAAGTTCCTCTCTGATCATGAACGTGGTTTCTAAGATATAACACCCAGGCTTTGCCATTAGCAGGAAGCACGTAGGGACACCGGAAGACCCAACCTTAACCTCGGGCACCAGGGATGTTTGTAGGCATTTCGGGCTGGATCGGGTGGGTCAGGTATTCTGGCACTCGGGAGTCACAGAAAGCATAGCAGCTTACAGCCCTGACCCAGGGAAAGGCTTCCCCAGTGTATCCGCTCTTCTCTAGCAGGAGAGGGTCTACCAGCTGGGGATGTTTGCCCAGTGTAGCAATTTTGCTCCGGCAGGGGAAAATCCGGGTGAAGTTGCTACAGTTCAGCTCTGCTCCCAGGAGTGGAGAGCAGAGTGTAACAACTCCACTCTGCCAGGGGAAGGTTTCCCCAGCAAAAGTGTTATAGCCCTGCTCCCTCTGCTCTGCCCAAGGTCGTCTCTGCTCTGCCACAAAAGAAGGTCTTCACCCAAACCTCATTGAAGGGGTTTATTGGAAGGGAAGAATCTGTAAGCGTTTCAGGATGGGTTGGGACAGGATGGAACAGGAGTGGGTCAGGTATTCTGGCACTTGGGAGCCAAGGACAACCACAGGTTGCAGTAAGTTTGGCAGCTTACAGCCTTGCCTCAGAGAAAGGCTTCTCTCGTGTATCAGCTCTGCTCCGGCAGGACAGGGTCTTCCAGCTGGGGATGTTCGCCTAGTGTAGCAGTTTTGCTAGGCAGGAGGTTTCTCCGGCCGAAGTTGTTACAGTTCAGCTCTGCTCTCGGAGCGGAGAGCGGGGAGCCAGGAGCAGAGTGTAACAACTCGGCTCTGCCAAGGAAGGTTTCCCCGGGCAAGTGTTACAGCGCTGATCGCTCTGCTCTGCTCTGCTCTGCCCAGGGTCGCCTCTGCTCTGTCACCCTGCAAAAGAAGATCTTCACCCGAAGATCATCCAAAGGGGTTTATTGGAAGGCAGCTGGACCAGCCAAGCTGAACATACACAGGGTTTATATAGGGATTCTTGGGGGTGGGGAAGTTTTTCCAGAGTAGGGATTGGTCAGATTTCAATGCTGAGCTCAGATTGGCTAGACCTTTGCTCGAGGATTGGTTAGTTTTCTGCACAGGATTAGGGTCAGATTTGGCTCTGGTTTCAGGGCCAAAGTGTGTTTCTTTCTCTGGTCCTTTTTAGCCTTTTGGCTCTGGTTTTAGGGCCAGGGTACATTTCTTTCACTGGCTCTGATTCCAGGCACAAAGTGTGTTCCTTTGGCACTGGTTTCAGGGTCAGGGTACATTTCTTTGGTTCTGGTTGCAGGGCCAAAGTGTGTTTCTTTGGCTCTGCTCAGGGTGTGTTTCTTTGGCTGGCCCCCTTTCCCTACAATGTTCAGGTCCTCAGACTAGGTTGAGATATCCCGCCATTCCACAGCCAATTGCAGCACAGCTGCTCCTTTCACTTACAGCCAATCATCGGCCGCAGCGACTGCACACCAACCCTCTTGACACGGCCATTGTATTTAAGGGCAAATGGGGCGCTCTGGGCAGCGGAAGCCCCAAAGTGCCATATTTGGTAAGCTGAGAAATGGCGTCTTAGTGCCGTCACTAGCAACTGAAGCCAGGCCGTCGCCATGTTTACTGAAGGCATCTTTCGGGTTCCTTCACCCGAGTCGTGTCTGTGTGCGAGCGGCTGTGGAATGAAACATAGAGCCTAAGTAGTTTCCACCGAAGCCCTGCAGTCCTCAGCGGCCACTCGCTGCTCGCTTTGTTCCACTCCCGTTGGGGGCGATAGTGACCAAGGGGCGTGGCATCCGGGGGAAGCCGAGGCTGGAAGCCGGAAACTGGGCGGCAAAGCCGCTGCCCCCGCAGGAGCTCCGATGGCGCCACCCCCTGCCCCGCTGCTGGTGCCGATGCCCGCGGAGAGCTGTCCTGGTTTCAGGAAGCCTGAGCTCGTGAGTTTCGCGGACGTGGCTGTGTACTTCTCCCCGCATGAGTGGGGCTGTCTGCGGCCCGCGCAGAGAGCCCTGTACCGGGATGTGATGCGCGAGACCTACGGCCTCCTGGGCGCGCTCGGTGAGGCCCGGGTCAGAGCCCTGTCCCCACCCCCCAACCCTCCTCGGGGGTTCACATGGGAGATGCTGTAGACCGACCAAGTGGATTGTGAGCCCTAATCCTGCACTTTTCCACCAGAAACATCAGTCACCTTCCATTCCTAGGGCTTCCTCGGGAGTCTCCATTCAGGCAAGAGCATCGCAAACCCGACCCTGGTTGATTTGAGCATAGGTTCTGAGAAGGCGCCCTCACCCTAGTGGGATGCTATCTTGCCCGGGTCAGTCGCTCAGACCAGCACTGTGACCCCTGTTCTCTCTCAGGATTCCCGGGCCCCAAACCAGCCCTCATCTCTTGGATGGAACAGGAGAGTGAGGCTTGGAGCCCCGCCGCCCAGGATCCTGCGGAAGGGGAAATTCTAGGAGGAGCTCTGAGAGGTGAGGGGTTGTCCCAGGTCCTCCTGCATCTTGTTTGTCCGGGGTTTCTTCTCTAGTAAAGTTTTCTTTCAGATTTCCCATTCCAGCATCCCTACAGAATTTCGAGAGACAACATGTGTCAGATACAAAAGGGAAAGAGCCGACCTGTTAAGAGTTTTGGAAACTCTCAAGAGCAGTCCTGTTAAGAATAGAGTAGGAGAATCTAGAGCCCAAAGAACTTAGGTTTCCAAATGTTTGTTAAATACTGTTCATTTCTCCCTTTTCAAAACCGACTAAGGCTGGTCGTGGTGGCACACACCTTTAATCCCAACACTCAGCAAAGGCAGGTGGATTTGAGGCCAATCAAGGCTACCTTGTCTCAGTACCCCCTCCTGAATGCCCTAAAATGCCCCAAACATTGAGCTGGTTTCAGGTCTGCCTATCATATTTCTCAAGACAAAGTGCTGCATGAGAAAAATGCTGGTGTAATGACAGCTTGGCTCCTCCCATTGCTACCCTGAATCGAAGAAATCTGAAGCAGATACGGCACCTAATCTGTACAAGTACCACTGTACCAACACAACAAAAAGAACCCCCAAAACACAAAATGCAACAGTAACTGCTGTTTCCTGAGCATTTTCTAAGTTATCAACAAGCATGTATGTATTAAATCCTCCTAATAATCCTGTGACGTCAAGAAACCATTATTTTCCCATTTGACACATGAAGAAGGAAATTTTAACTGTTTGACTTTCAACAAAGCCTTTGTGTTAGTCACTGGGCAGTATATTTTAGCACTACCTGGGTAAAAATCTAGGGTAATCTATGCAAAAGTGTTAATGTTTTATTGAAACTTGTTTCTTTCCTTTTTTTTTTTTTTTTGGTTTTTGAGACAGGGTTTCTCTGTGGCTTTGGAGGCTGTCCTGGAACTTGCTCTTGTAGACCAGGCTGGTCTCGAACTCACAGAGATCTGCCTGCCTCTGCCTCCCGAGTGCTAGGATCAAAGGCGTATGCCACCACCGCCCGGTGAAACTTGTTTCTTAAAGATGTTTGTTATTTTTGATTACAAGTAAATGTGTGTGTCTGTATGGGGTCATGTGCACATGAGTGCAGCTGCCCAGTGAGGCCAGAGGCATGAGGTTACCTGGTGCTGAAGTTTCAGATGCCTGTGAGGTGTTTGATGTGGGTTTTGGGAACTGAACTCCAGTCCTTTGGAAAGGCAGCAAGCGATTTTTTTTTTTTTTTTTGGTTTTATGAGACAGGGTTTCTCTGTATTGTTTTGGAGACTGCCCTGGAAATTGCTGGGTAGACCAGAGCTGGCTCCAAACTCACAGAGATCCGCCTGCCTCTGCCTCCCGAGTGCTGGGATTAAAGTGGGCAGCAAGCGATCTTAAGCACAGAGACATCTCTCCAGCCCCTGTTTTGCTTTATGTTTGTAGTTCTGACTGGCCATATCCTGCTATCCTGTTTTGGGTTTCTGAGACAAGGTCTCACTATGTAGGCCTTGCTAGTCTCAAATTCATGGCCTTCTTCCTGCTTCAACTTTTCCAAATGCTGGGATTGCAGCTATTTCCTAGTGAAAGTTTTAAAATATAATTAATTTGTTTCCCAGGAGACACTTCAAATGAGAAGGAGCAGGGCTCCGAGAGGCCAGCAGAGACTCCTGCTCAGTTGCAGTCTAAAGAGGTGGTTGAACATAAGACTTACTCCATGGCTACCAAGTCCTCTGCAGGAGTACAGCTACCTACGAAAGCGTCCCCAGGCCAGGTGGCTGACGCACAGCTTCCTGCCCCGGTAGCCAGCCCAGATGTGCAGGCCAAGCAGCGTCGCCATGTGTGTGTGGACTGTGGGCGCTGCTTCGCATACCCCTCTTTACTAATCAACCACCGTCGCTCACACTCAGGTGAGCGACCCTTCCCCTGCCCAGAGTGCGGCATGCGATTCAAGAGGAAGTTTGCAATGGAAAGTCACAAATGGATCCACCGGTCCTGCTCAGGGGGACGTCGTGGCCGTAGGCCTGGGATCCGGGCTGTGCCTGGAGCCCCAGTTCGAGGTGACTGGGATCCACCAGTGCTTTTTCGGCACTATCCAGACATTTTTGAGGAGTGTGGGTGATAGCCGGCTGCCTGCATCTGGAGCAGAGCATGAACTTGGCGCTAAGAAGCAACTGAGTCAAGACTTGGGAAATGAAATATATCACTTTGACTTTTCTCAAGTATCCTTTATAAAATTGTAAAAAGAAAAGTGCCTGTAAAGATTCATGTAGATTAAACCTGACACCTGCTCCCCTCCCCAGTGATGGTGTTCTGAAAAAAAGGGGGGTGGGGCGCTGGGCTGGGGATATGATTCAGTTGGTACTGTTTCAGTCAGGTTTCTCAAGAGGAACAGAACCAAGGGAATGAGTATACACACACACACACACACACACACACACAGATATAGATATTGGTAAAGGCAGAGAACAAAAGACAAGAGAAACTTAACTTCTAAAATGCCTTTGTTGTTAAATATTACTTTAACTATATAGAGATGTGTTATATTTGTTTATGCTGCATTTAATTGTGTAAAGAAGTGTTGCTGCTTTCCCTTGCCTGCCTAAGGCACTTGATTGGTCTAATAAAAAGCTGAGCAACCAATAGCTCGGCAGTAGATAGGCGGGGTTGGTGGACAGAGAGAATAAGTAGGAAAGAAGAGAGAGAAGAGAACAAGGGAGGAAGAAAGGGAGATGCCTGGGGCCAGCCAGCCTGCCATTTACCAGCCAAGCAGACACAGAGTAGGACATACAAAATGAAAGGAGGGTAAAAAGCCCTGAGGCAAGCTGGGCAGGGGTGGGGCACCCCTTTAATCTAGCACTTGGGAGGCAGAGGCGGGAGAATCTCAGTGAGTTCCAGGCCAGCCTGGTCACAGAGCGAGTTCCAGAACAGCCAGGACTGTTGCATAGAGAAACCTTCCCCCCCAAAAAAGCCCCATGGCAAAACACAGATGAAGAGAAACAGGTTAAATTAAGTTATAAGAGCTAGGGGGGCAAGCAGAAGATAAGGCTGACCATTCGTAATTAATAATACATCTCCGTGTCATGATCTGGGACTGGTTGGTGGCCCAAAAGAAAACCTGCTACCTGCCTTTTTAAAATCTTGGTTCCTACTATGAGGTGCCACCCATGATGAGGACTGCCTTCCCAAGTCAGTCACCCATGATAAGGACTGCCTTCCCAAGTCAGTCAGGATAGTTCTTCAGGTGAGGCTACCTACTCAGGGGGTTCTAATTTGTGCAAATTGACCTCAAAGCCAGCCATAGTAATTCACCCTTGTCAGCTTTACACATAGATGGCATTTAAAAAACGATACTCTCATGTAGGCATGTAGAAGGTCTTTCTTTGGACTGTCAGCTCCTAAATAGGGATGCAGAGACTTCTTCTTAGGTATGAAAGCTTGGCCTTAGCTTTGGATTGTTCCTAACTAGCTCTTACAACTTGTATTAACCCATCTGTATTAACCTATGTGCTGCCGCTGGCCCATGGCTTTACCTGTCCTCCAGCAGGTCCTGCTCCCTCTGAGTCTCCTGGCGACTCTTGTGACTCCGCACTTCTTCTTCCCAGAATTCTCCTAGTCTGGCTCTCCTGCCCAATCTCTCCTGCTCAGCTATAGGCCAGTCACTTCTCTATTAGCCAATGAGAGTGACACATATTTACAATGCACCAAAGATTTCTCCACTACATATTAATCTACGTTCTGCCATGTGGCTCGTGGCCTCCCCTTAGTACTATATGTCCAACTTCCTCTGAGTCTGGCTGGTGAACCACCCACCACTCAGATTCTTCCCCTGAGTTCCTCTGCCTCCCTAGAAGTTCTGTCTCTCCTCTACTGCCTAGCTATTGGCCATCCAGCTCTTTTTTTTTTTTTTTTTTTTTTTTTTTTTTTGGTTTTTCGAGACAGGGTTTCTCTGTGGCTTTGGAGGCTGTCCTGGAACTAGCTCTTGTAGACCAGGCTGGCCTCGAACTCACAGAGATCCATCTGCCTCTGCCTCCCGAGTGCTGGGACTAAAGGCGTGCGCCACCAACGCCCGGCTCATCCAGCTCTTTATTAAACTAATCAGAAGGTGCCTTGGGAAGCTGAGGTAAAACAGACATTTTCATATAGTGTGATCAAATATGTAATGAGTCTGCCTCTGTCCTGCCAACCAGATCCTAAATAATGACATGGCGACTTCTATCAATTATGAACGTTCAGCTTACAGCTGTATCTTAAATTTAACCCATATTTTTAAATCTATGTTCTACCATGTGGCTTTTTACCTTTCTTTTATTCTGTACCTCTGACTTGTTCTGTGTCTCTTGGCATCTCCTGTGGGCCTAGATTCCCCTTCCTCTCTCTGCCTGGAAGTACCGCCTATACATCCTGCCTGGCTATTGACCATTCAGCTCTTTATTAAACCAATCAGAAGGCACCCTGGCAAAGACACATCTTTACAATGTAAACAAATATTCCACAACACAAATATCTTGCAACATATGCACACAAGCCTATACAATGCATATATATATATTTTGTTCTTTGAGACAGGTCTCAACATGGAACTCAACATGGAACACACTACATAGACCAGGTTGGCCTCAAACTCACAGAGATCACCTTCCTTGGCCTCTCAAGTGCTGGGGTTAAGGACGTGTGCAAATAAACTTTTTAAAAATGAGGATGATGCTAAGATGCACACATTCTGGAAGAGTTTTCTCTTGTGTGTGTGTGTGTGTGTGTGTTTTCCCTACACATGTTCCCACAGAGCGCAGAAGAGGACATTGGCTTCTTGCCACTGGAGTTTAGGACAGTTGTTAGCTGCCATGTAGGTACTGGATATTGAGCCTGGGTCCTCTGAAAGAGCAGTTAATGTTCTTAACCACTAAGCCATCTCTCCAACTCAAATAAATAAATAAACAAACAAATAAATGAGTATTTTTAAGGTAATAAAATAATTCTTAATAACTATAACCTTGCCCCCTAAGTCTCATATTTGTTTGTTTTTCACACTATAAATATAATCTACCATGTCCCTCAAAATCCTTAAAAATCCAAATACTTAAAGTCTCAAATCTCAGCTGGGTATGATTGTGTATAACTTTAACCCCAGCACTCAGGAGGCAAAGGCAGGGGGATCTGAGTTTTGAGGCCGGCCTGGTCTACAGAGTGAGTTCCAGGACAGCCAGGGTCACACAGATAAATGTAGAGGAAAAACTAGAAGTGTCGTTGCACCTGGCATATAATTAGGCCCTGAAGTAATCTCAATCAGTGATTGTTATCTGAGATTTATGGGGTTGCCTTTTCTTGGGAATTTCAGAACCTTAGCATGACACAGTCATGCGACATACCTGGCAAACTTGGAATTCTTACAATGACTGTCTTTACTTAGGTAATGATATCTTCAGATAGTTCCTAGATTAGATAAGAGATTTTGGTATGCAGGAATTGACTTGCTAAAAGAACCAGAGGCTGGTTCTCCCTGCTGCTGTTGCTAAACTTACTGCATCCTGCAGTGTCTCTCTTGTCCCAAGTAACAGAACACCAACAGAGGAAATTTGTCTCAAAAACAAAGACATCAAGAAACAAAACAACACAAAACAACCCCCCCCACCAAAACCCAAAAGACAGTTTCAAATCTCTTAATTGTAAACTCGTATGATTATCATAGCAAGTTATATTTACTATGTTATAGCATCAAGTAAACATCGGCAAATAAGCAATCATTCAAAAGCACAATTAAATTAATCAGAGAAAACACCAAATCTTACAACTCCAATGACCATCATCTGAATCTCCCTACTGTTGAGAGTTAGGCTGGTCCTGGACTTTCCCTGAAGCCCTGATGTATGGAGAAGGAATTTAGTTCCTTAGGTAGAACCCAGAGTATGCTTGACAAGACCAGTAATGGCCTGGGGCCAGTACCTTTACTTTAACTATGTACAGTGCTATAAGAATTTTCATAATTAATATTAAGTCTTTTTTATGCTTCATTTGTTTAACTATGTAAAGGTGTGTTGCTGTTTTACCTTGCCTGCCTATGACAGCTGACTGGTCTAATAAAAAGCTGAATGGCCAGTAGTTAGGCAGTAGAGGGATAGGCAGGGCTGGCAGGCAGAGAGAATAAAGAGGAGGCAGAGAAATCTAAGTTCAGGAGAATAGAAAAGAGAGAAAGAATAAGGAAGAGGGACACCTGGGGCCAGCCAGACATGGAGTAGGACATACAGAATGAAAGGAAGGTAAAAAGCCCCAAAGGCAAGACACAGATGAAGATAAACAGGTTAAGTTATAAGAGCTGGTGGGACAATCATAAGCTAAGGCCAACTATTCATAATTAGTCTCAGTGTCTTGATTTGGGGGCTGGTTGGTGGTCCAGGAAAGCCTGCTACACAGGAGCTGTTTCATGTCCTGAGAGCTCAACTTTTGGATACTAGGAACTCAACATGCCCACTCCCTCTCTCCTCATCCCCCACCTGGCTTTGAAGGGGTAGCTGTGTCTGTGTTTATTAGTCCCTAGGCCACAGAGCTGAGTGCCAGGTCTGTGGAGCACTTGAGAATCCCTGTGTTTCCTTTGTGCAACATCCCATTGTACAGTAGACTCTGTACTGCTGACTCTGCCTCATTACCCCCTAAAAACCTGTATATAAGATACTGTATTTCTTTTCTTTTTTCTTTTGATTTTTCTAGACAGAGTTTCTCTGTGTAGCTTTGTAGACCAGGCTGGCCTCGAACTCACAGAGATCCACCTGCCTCTGCCTCCCGAGTGCTGGTATTAAAGGCGTGCGCCACCAACGCCCGGCGCAAGATGTATTTTTTAATAAACTTGTTTATAAGAGCTATTAGCTTGTTCAGTACCTCCTGATTCCAAAATTTCCTCTTCTTTTTTCATCCCCTGGTCTTCTTTCTCAGGAACATGTTATTGAAGAATGACCTGTTATTTCAGGTCAGAATACAATCTTCCAGGGTCCAAAGGGCTTCATATCAAAGTTGTTTGAGGAATGTTTAATGTCTCATAAGTTAAATATGACAGTATAGTTTACAACACTTAACTGCTAATATTATTGCAATTGATGTTACATTAAATGTAGTTGTTTGAAAGAAACTGATCCCCATAGGCTCATAGGGAATGGCTCTGTTAGGAGGTGTGGCTTGTTGGAGAAAGTGTGTCACTGGGGATATACTCTGATGTCTCAGATGCTCAAGCCAGGCCTAGTGTGACACTCTTTTCTTGCTGCTTTGGATCCTGTTGTGGGACATTTGTTTACACTGTGTGAGGATGT